AGCAGGGAAATGCTTGCAGCCCTGGGAGTAACCACCCACCCTGCTGTGCACACATTTCAAGAGTTTGCAGCTGGGTGTATGTTTAGGTGCAGGGTCTCTGTGTGAGACTGGTGCACTAGCTTTGATTAGCCAGTCTGGCAGGAGTGGATGGAGACAGATTTCCTGACATTATATTTTGAACATATTTTTCCCCTCCCCTCATTAAAGACATCTCAACTGGTTTTACTGAATTTCTATTCAGCGCTTCACTTGTAATACTCTGAGATTTTATTTGGAAGCAATTTCTCCAAATAAAATAGGAAGTCTCTTCAGTAAAGGAGATTACAGGGACATGCAGTGGCATTGCTGGTCAGTCAGCCAAGAGCTAGGGCACAGTTTGAGTCTCAGTGAAAGCATTTCTGGAAAGTTAGAGAGAAGGCATTGAATTTCTGTGAGGGGAGGAAATGGACACTGATCAGTGACCTAAGAGACTGGCTGGTCAATGCTTAAGATAATAAAAAATCTCTGAAATCTTTCAGAGATGCTCACTAATCTCAATGGGGCAATAATATATGATGTTAGAAAATCTTCCCAAGTTGAACTGTGTTTTCTCTCCTTTGAGGCTTCATATTATCCATAGGTATTAAACACATGTAAATTCTATATCCAGAAGAACAGAAATAATCAGAAAGATAGTTCTTCATTTTCAAATGTCGGCTTTCTACCTTGCTTGACTCTCACAATCACACATTATTATTCTTTCTTTTATGCTTCTAGTTATTGTTACCCCATGTTTGCCCCACTGCTGCACATACACACAAGGTATCTATGGATTAGTTCAGTAAAATCAATTTTATGTAAACTTAAGCTAGGAGGGAGGCATCTTGTCTACTCTTTCAAAATAATAAATGGACCTTCCTTCTGAGTTTATCTGCTTGCTTTTCTAAATATGGCTTCTGATTTTCTCTCTTTATGAATATGCTTATTTGAAACTCTGAAGTGTTAACTCCCCGGTAAGAAGTCTAGCCAATGGAAGAATCACTGTTTTAGACCTGGTTCTTGAGAAAATGAGTCCTTGCTAGGTATTTATGCAGAGATCTTGTTCTGAGAATGTTTCTTGTAACTTGAGCTGTCCTGCCCAGTACTAATAAGGAGGAAAGGTCACATTCAGCTACCAGTTCCAACCACATTTGTCCCGTTGTTCTCCCGCCCCAAAGATATCCATGGTTATGGTTTTAGGGTCATGGTTGACTTGGCAGGTTTTGATACATACCATTGACCCAGGAAAGAAGCAGTCACCACTGCAAAGAAACTTGCCATGATAACTATGATAAATAAATATTTGTCGTAGAGTTAAATGGAAGGTGTGTGAAATGCCTGTTGAATCAATGATAATGAATGAAGGAATGAATGAGAAAGGCTGGGGCCTCATGACAATAGCATTTCTGTTATTTCTTTCTCAACATCTTTCCTCTTTTAAGAACCATGATATCTATGTGTACCCAAAGGCCTATTTGGGATCTTTTTGTAGTAGGGATCAAAGCAGGTGGGCAGCTGACCACCTGAGTTCAGGTTGCCTGCTGAAGAATCAGGTTTTATGGTATGATGGAAAATTCCTTTTGTTTTTCAAGATCTCAAGGGTAATAATATTCATCTGTATTGCCTATTGGGACACAAAGAGTAAGACATAGCCCTTATGTATCTTTTCTGAAAAAGTTCTCCAGCTCTTATGAGGACAATAGTTGAACTGCACAGAACCTACAGATGGCTCCTGTTCCCCATTATTAGTCTGTCACAGTTCTAATTTCATCCTCATCTTTCCATTTCATGCTTTCCAGATATGAAAACCTTTCCAATGGTGGCCTTTATGCATTCTAATGACATGTAGTTAGTTGCCTTTTATCCTGCCTTAGTGTCTCTCCCAAACTATATTAAAAATCAATGATCGTAACAATTCTAATGATCTGATGTGATATTGGACAGTTTCAAGTCTGGTCCCAGAATAATGAAAAAAAAAAAAAAACAGTCAAGAACAATAAAAGGATTTGATACTTTTTGCCCTAGATTTCTTTGCTGTGCTTCCCAAACTTATGCAATATAGATCAAAGGTTGTGTGTGGTTTTTGTATTATCAAGGGAATGAGAGCTGTACTTTGGAGTTTATAGTCAAATTGAAGATGTTAGATGATCACACTGACAAAGGCAATAATCTCAATGTTTTTGCACATAAGTTTTCTAACCTATGCTTTTGGATTATCTTTCCCCCTCTTGTAACACAAACTAAATGGGATGTTAGCAGCCCATGGCTGAAATGAAAAACAAACAAACAAAAAAACAAAAAACCCCACAAAACTGAACATGGAATGAGCAGGAGACAAGATGAATGTAGTGAAAGATGAAGAATATATTTCTTTAGAAAAATAGGCACATATACATCTTTTTGCTTTTAACATACTCTGTATTAATTTATAGATATACATAGCGTAAGCATTTCACATCATTTTGGCACTGTGTACAATTCTACGGAAAGCTGTGTTGTTTTTCAGCCCGTACTATAACAGCACAATAATGTCTAGAATATTTAGCAATATATTATCACATTTGTACTAGAGCTGCCTCAAATACTCTGTTTTCCATGTTTGTAAACGAAAATAGGAACACCACTACATAAACACTGTGATTGAAAAAATACCTTCTTTTCAGTTCCTCCTTTACATTCAGTAAAGGAGACTTAAGCCACTTTAGTATCCAAAATACATTTTCACTGAAGGAATATAATTTTTCTTCGGGTGCACTAAATATGTAACCAGAACAAATCAACTTTTTGTTTTCCCACAACTAGATCACCTCTGAAAGGCAGTGGCATCAAGGACATAGATGAGACTTGAGATTTGGAGGGTTTTGGTGGATCTCTTCATTTAGCACAAAAGTAAATGATGGTGACTCGGATTACTGTTGCAAATTCACAAATGAATTTTAGGTGCCAGCAATGATAACTGGTTTATTCAGGGATTTTTAAGGATTTTATACTGAGGAAGTGAAGAGAGACATGGGAATATAATATTGGGTTTTCAGAAGAACCTCTACTTTCATTTTAAATGAACTGGTGGATGGTCAAACTTGTAGCAGTTACTTTTCCTCCTCCTGTCTTGCTAATAGCAGCAAACAAGAGGTCAACTACAAACTGATTTCTAATTAGCCCTACTGAATCTTCCTGGAAAAGTTGGGGATCTTGTTAAGCTTTGAAGCTGGGTGGAAGGCAGTTAATGGATTTATATGGAGTCTTTTAATTACCAGTCTTAAACAAATTTATCTTTTACTGCTAGATAGCACCCAAGGGCAAGAGGTAATCTGCTTTATAAACCTTAGAGTGATTTGCTTTATAAATCCTGGAGCTTAGGAAAGTGGAAAACTCTTTAAAGAGAATATTCTCTTCCACTAGAAATTATATTTTTGGCAGTTTTGTGAAAAATTTAGTGATGGATTCTTTGTGACCTCCCAGTGTATAAATGTCAAGGACCAAAGCATATTCAACATGAAGGCCAGCTCCTTCAGCAGGTAGACCTGTTCGGTGGACAAGATTATCCAAAACCAAACTGAGTGTACGATATTAATAAACCAATTAACAAGGTGGCCCATCTAATGTTTTGAGCAAATTGACTCTAAACTTCTTTTTCATTCAGAACATTACACCTTCCTGCCAAATGCAAGTCTGTCCCCCGACATTCTTAGTCATTTCTATATTAGAAAGCCACTCGGTCTTGCAGAGGTCATGTAATTTGTGCGGTTTACATTGTGTGGATGGTAAAACATCTGAGTAATATTGGAATTGGTTGAAATAAAAAAATTAAAAATCAGATCCATAGCCAAATACAGAAATATTCTAATTCAAAGTCTAGAGTTAAAAAGAAAAATAGTGACCGTGATTTTGATTTTTCAAAGTTATAAATGGCTCAAGATTAACAAGGAGCACCCTGTTTCTGAACTAGGTCAATTTAGTCGTGTTTCTCTTGGATACTTTGCTTGCATTACTATGACATCTGCATCTCGGTCCTAGATGAAAGATGGAGATCACAAGTGATGCAGTGGGAGACCCCATTCCTAGACTGTCTCCCACAGCAATAGTACCAAGGATAACTTTCTCCAGATTTACTATGGACAAATTCACTTAATAATTCTTCACGAATGATATGCTCAGCTCCTGGGAGGATGGGGATCACTTTAAACACATGGTCTGTCTGTCTCCCAGGAAATGAAGGCTCAGTGATCACGATGTAAGCTTCACATTCAAGCGGATGACTCTTGCTCAATGATCTCCAAAGCGATGACCTCTGCACCCTCCTCGCCCAGGTTGTTGGCGGCTTCGTTCCTCGGCTCCTGATGGCAGATGTAAACCGGGATGTCGCCGGCTTCAGCTGCGGCTGCGGCAGCGGCTGCAGCAGCGGCTGCAGCGTTGGCAGCAGAGCGGCGGGGGTTCCTGCTCCCCCAGCGCTGATCCCACTGGGTTTTGAATTGGGCCCAGTGGCGCTTCACGGTGGTTTGGACCTGGAAGAGAAAAGGCGACCTTGTTTTCGTATAATTGTCAGAAAGGACCTGAGCTGTTTATGAGTGAGCACAATTCTAGGAGCTCATCAGAGGTTAAAGGAGATCGAATCGTAATTCTGATCCAAAGGACTGTGCAGGATAGGCTCTGGTTGGGGAACATACCATCTTGGCAGAAGAATTTACAAACTGGAGAAGTGAGTTGCTTGCCTAAGCTACCACTGGCAAGGTCATTTGCTCTTTTGAGTAAAAGTCTGTTCTTTAGCTCTTCTACCCAATCAATGAAATTTGACTTGGTTTCATACCCAATATGGTATACATGTCATATCAGAGGAAAAGATTTTGAGAAGTTTTTATCTGCTACCACCTCTGGTAAGGCAGAAACTTTCATCTAAACCTACACATTATTGGTCATGATGGAAAGCATTGCACAGTTCTGGGTTTTATGATAATGACTTCACACTGGTGATTTTCCTTTCTCCAACATGGCTTGAGAGCGGATGTGCGAGGTAAAACTCTGGTTAATGGAGTGACAAGCTTTTAAGAATAAAATTTCAATCTCTTTCTATTGAGAAACTTCTAGTATGTAAATAAACTCATCAAACATACTTTATAAATATGATAAACTCTATCTTGAACACAAGGGAGAAGATGCTAAAGTCAGAAAGTTCCAAATATGAAAATTACAGTAAGCATAGCTGAAAACAGCACAGACGATAATGTTGCTTCCCTAGCTCTGCTTTCTACATAACTGAATTCAATTTAGTAGTTAAGTTAATCTTTTCTGTTGTCTTCTAGCATACAGTGTTTACACATATGCTCCAAAGACTGTGCTCTTGGGGTTTGAGTTCCAGTTTGTTGACTCCATGGTTGTTGTTGTTTTTTTGTTTCTTAGGCTTTTCTCCTTTGTAAAAAGGAGATCATGACACTAATTCAGAGTTATGAGTAAGATTTATTGGGGTTATTTAAGTCACCTAGTATGGTGCTGGTGCATAGCAGCAGTAATTCCCTACTTTTTCTCATGTTCTGTCCCCATGTTGACTCCCGTCCTATACCCACCACCTCCAAGGATTTCCCAGTCAATGTGGCTGGATTTGAGAGAGTCAAGTGTCTCTCTTAATATTATCTAGCACTTAATAAAGACCTAGGTCTTTATTAAGGCTATTTGCTGGTTGAAAACTGATTCATGTAAGTGTTTTGCCTCTTATGGTTGTAAGCAAATCAGTAGAAGAGGTACAAATGTCAGCTGTAATATATGTATAGAGAGAAAAGGATGGATTGGAGCCATGGAAGAGGTACAGGTGAGGAAGAACAGAACAGTAAAGAAGAAAAGCAGTTAGGACAGTGCTGAATAACTGAGTATTGACTAGTTTGTTAACCCTCTGAGACATTTCTGTCTAGAGGTCAAGACACAAAGAGAAGACGAAGCCTGAAAGATTAGGTCCGTTTATTTCTAATTGAAACGATATACTCCTTCACACACTATGGTTTCCTGCACTCAGCTAGTGCCATTCAAAATAGCAGTAGGGAGACATGCTCCAGATAGGCTGAACTTGATCACGGTTATTCTTTTCAGAAGGAATTCAGTCCACACCCTAGGTGACCTGAAATCTTGGCCTCGTGGGTTTGTCCTTTAGCTATTTACCAAAAATGCCTCCATTTCAGTCACTCGGCCAGGCACAGATAGAAGGGATTCGGGTCCCGTAAGAGCACTCAGACACCAGGAGCAGAGCTGCCATCAGGCAGAAGTGGAAGATTCCCATCCATCATTCTACTGCGTTTGCCTGAGTTGGCTCATCTCTCTGCCAAAGTGGTTTTAAGCCACTTATTGCTTTGACCCTGATTCTCCAATATTAAACTGCTGGTCTCTCTCCACCAGCTATATGGTTTCTTCCCATCAGGCCTCTATTCACTGTGTTCCCTCTGACTGGAATGCCCCTCCCCCCACCCTTCACTAACACCAAAACTTGTGTTTTCAGGACTCAATTCTGTTTCCCTGGAAACTTTTCTTAACCCCCTAATACAGAGTTAGGAGTCTCTTCTGTGCTCTTGTTGCACTTATTCTCCATTCATTATTGCTCTTGCTACATTATATTATAATGCTTGGTATGTCTCCCTCTCCTCGTGTGTGTGTGTGTGTGTGTGTGTGTGTGTGTGTGTGTGTGTAGTGTCTATTAAGTCTAGGTCCTTAAATGTTTTAAATGCCAGGTTCATAATCTAGGAACCATCAAATACCCTGTTGAGGAAATAGGAAATACATTGTTTCAGCATATTTTTGGAGAAGCGATGTCCCCAGACAAGGGGAACTGATAGTTTCTGTGGATTCAGCATCTCTCAAATACCAACATTGTCTTTATAGCTAAAACTTACACCAATATTTAGAGGTATCCAAGGCAGACAGTGTAAGTTTAGAGTGAGTTTGTAAAAGTGCCAGCAGACAAAAAAAAAAAAAAAAGTCTTTGTTTTTCCTCACCTGTTCTTTTAAAATAATCCCCTTTGGAGTGCCCATGCATTTTAATGAAGTACCTTGCGTAAATGAGGCCAAAGGGTTTGAGACCCATTTCATGTTTTTAATATTATTATTACAGAGATGTTCATAGCCTTCTATAATTGCATTCCTGAATTATAAACCTGTTCTTTTGTGTGAAGATGACAATCTGCTTCAATTTGTAAACCACACATATAAGAATAGGCCCTTAACAGGATGTAAAAGACACTTGAATAATTATAGTTTAATAGGGCAATTATCTCCTACAATACCACAGGTTAGGCTTGATGCTGCTTTGATCACAAGAATAAGGGCATTGAATCTGATTGAAAAAAACAGGGAGACTTTTCATTGCTCCTGAAAAGCATCAGAAATGTTAGAAGAGGCCAATGGGATAAATATACAAAGTTTGAATTGTATAAATTCATCACTCATTCTAAAAGCAATTAACACAGATCACTTTACATTTTCCCTAATTATATCAATTTATTTATTGCCACCTTTAAAAATAGAGCCCTGGACTGAGGGTTTGAAGACATAATTATTGCACCTGGCTCTATTATTAACCATCGGTATAAGGCTGGTACATTTGGGCCTCAGTTTCCACATTTGTGAAAAAGAAAATCAGGTTGCAATCTTCATGGTTGGACTTAAATGCTTTTATCTTTGGCCTTTGTTTTGCTTAAATTCAGTATAAGCACCAGCAGTTATATACTGTTGAATGGAAGGTGGGATTTCTCCCAGGGAGTTTTGATTCAATGGATGAAAAGATTTTCAAAACTCCTCCCTCATGTCTTCCCTTGTTGATGCCACAACTGAATAGACCTGCTGCCATCTAAATTTAAGATTAAAAATCATGAATTTTAAAAACACTTTAAATCCACTGGGAAGTTAAAAAGTAACTATATGCTTTAAATGCTTTTATATGACTTTTTGAAGCTGGACCTCTATTAAATCCTGTTAATTAGATGCTGAGGGGGACTTCTGAATATTATTCATAAAGTTGCCACTGATATTTTTTTCATCCTTTGGGAGCATTATCTTTACTAGTCTTTATCTTACAGAATTTACATGTTTTACAGTTTGAGGTAATTGGGTACTGCAAGATTATAAGATCAAGGTTTTCTAATTCCCTTTCACTACCTACTTTCCTATGTTTGGGGAAGCTTCCCTGTTCTAGAAGACAGAAATAAATAAATATCATCCATAATAAGGTTAATATTTTTGAAAATATTTAACTATTGTGTTTCTTAAATAACATTACCCTACAACCCTCTCATTCATTAAGTGAAGGTCATTCATTGCTTGAAGAACAAATTAGATTTTATCTAGAGTAGGTTCACCAAGTGTATTCTCTGATCAGCAGCATCAGCATCACCTGGAAAATGGTTATAAATGCAAATTCTCAGGCCCCATTCTTGTCCTACTAAATAGGAAACTCTTCTGGTTGGGGCCAACCACTCTGTGTTTTAACAAATTTTCCAGGTGATTCTGATGCACACTTAAGTTTGAGAACACTGGTCTGGAAAAACAACAAGAAAAATCATTGCTTAGCTTTGAGTCTCCAAGCTGACTTTCTTGAGTCTCTAGAAGGACAAGCTTTGAAAACCAGGTTTTATGGAGTGAGAGAATTTCTAAATAGAAAAGCTTACCTTTGCATTGAAGTGAAAGCCTTACTGCTCTGAAAACAGAATTTTACTAAAAGCCATAGTACAGAGAACACACAGGATGTGACATAGGGAGAGTTCCTTGCAGACAGGAAGGGGAGTGGGGAGCCCAAAACCCTTCTAAGCCCCAGAGGAAGAGAAGAGAGAGATACAGAGACACAAAGGACCTTGCATTTCCCCTTCATGGGGGAAATACCTGGGGACATGGGGAGAAGAAAGAAAGCAGAAATAACAGAAACACCCCAATATAATAAATATTGCTCTTATGATTTTGAGAGCACAGTTCTAGAAATTGATAGCCCCACAAAGAAGTCCCACATTTGGCTTGGTACCATGTCCAACTTGGTGCCTGAGCAGTGGCTATGACATTAGCTGAAGACAGATTCACAGGCCCTTCTCAGTGTGAAGAAAGGAGGCTGACTTCCCAGGCTCCTCAGGTGGCTCCTCAGAAAACTGGTGTAATCAGAACAGGGGCAGGGCCTGGTCAAGGAGACTACAGAGTAAAATGATCTCTAGGGTCCTCAGTAGTGAGGGGAGCCACCATGAGTTTCAACAGGGGGTGCTAGCATAATGTCAGTTTTCACACACTCCAATCTTAAACCGAAATCTTCCTGATCATGCTAGTTTGATCTACAAACTATTTTAGCCATAATGCATGGACAATAGCAAGAAACATCAAAAAGGGAGAACATTCACTGTGTTGTTAGTGCTCTCTCAATTTTTAAGCTGTGGCTTGGAAACATTTGAGTATCTTTATAGCTATGATCATCTTTTTGAGGTCCCTTAGATAGTTAATAATTTATTGAAGTTGGATGGTCAATGTCCACACTCTTGGAAGACTTGTAGGAACTATTTGATCCATAAGCACGCTCTCATGGTTACCTCCTGATTCCTACTACTGTAATTCTCCAAATTCCTTTCCTGCTTCTAGTCTTTTCATCCTATCTGATCCATTTGCATAACAGGAATCGCTGATAACATACAGATAAAAAATAAAAATGAAAACCTCAATCTTCACAATCTAACTGACATATTAACCCCGGAAATCTCTTAACATTCTGGTAGGCAAAGCCCAATCCCAACTCTGTCTCAGATGCAGCTGCAAGAATTTCCTGCAGGTTCAAGTGCCCTGCCTGTGTTTCAGGTTGTTCACAGAGGGCCTTGCTGAGATCCACAGGCCTAAAATTCATGGGGCTGTGACATTACATTTGACACAGTAAACAATTTCTATCTTATTAGAAATGTCACACTGGTAGCTTCTCCTGGTAAGAGAATCTTAATTAAAATGGAGACAGTTTCTTTACTTCAAAAAGCAGAGATAACATACTCAAATGAACTAGAAACATTCAATTGTTCAGGAGCACTCCTCAGCTTGCTTTCTATGCCTGACACTCCCAAGACAGCATCATGGTTAAAACATAGTAAGTACTGAGGTATTTTTACAAACGCATGCAATCCTCTAATGTTTTCAAGGCATGCCCCTTCTGAATATGGTTTTTATATTAGCCCTATATGGGTATTGCTTTAGATGGGAAAACTTATTTTGTATGGCACCTGTAACAACTCAGAAGACAGAGACATACATTCACAGAAACTGATTAAAGATAAGGTGACCTAAGCCCTATTTATTTTTTTATTAGTTTTTGCTATTCTTCAAACAAATGAACAACAACAAAACAAAACAAAACAAAACAACAACAACAAAAAAAAAAAAAACAAAGGAAGAGAGACACTTTAACAGCTGGCAGCAGAAAGATGTCTTTTCATTTCTATCCCAAACCTTCAGTCTAGCCCATAGCAATAGTGAATACATAATATATTTTTGTTGAATGAAGGAATGAGTTTATGGATGAATGGACGAAGGGAGGAATAAAATGTACCAATTAAAAAGGAGAATGAGAATGACAAAAATCCCACAATGCAATGTCGAGGTTGGAGATAAATAATAGGTCACAAAACAGCAAAATATTATAGGTGCTCACTATTTAACTGAAGAAATAAAGAATGGAGAATCAATTAAATATTAATTGATTATGGTTAGAAAACCATTCTCGTTTGTAATAGAAAAATAATATTTTTGTTTATCTCTTAACAAAATCTGATTTGCCTTGATATAGAATTATTCTTAATAGGAATTAGTGTAAAATTATAAAAAATAATTGTGCATTAAAATTCATGTGGTATATAACTAGAGAACATACGCCAACAAATCTCCAGGGAGGAATCCTAGACATATTATAGAGCAGTGGAAGATGCAGTTCATTTAATTAAGAATCAGGAAATTTGGGTTCTAGTCACCGTTATACAATATACAACTATGACTGTGACATTGTGCGAGTCACATGTTCTTCCTGGAGTGTAGACTTTTCACCTAAAAAATGAGGGAGCTTACAAACCATGTTTCTTGAAGCCCTGGATATTCTGTGGTACAAGTTTAAGCTGCTCCACTTTTTTAAAAATTCAAGTATAATTAACATATGTGTTGGCAGGATTTCATTCTTTTTTATGGCTGAGTAATATTCCATTGTATGTATATGCCAGATCTTCTTCATCCATTCATCCATCAATGGATACTCAGGCTGCTTCCATATCTTGGCTATTGTAAATAATGCTGCTATAAACTTAAGGTTGCACTTATCTCTTTGAATTAGTGTTTTCATTTTCTTTGGGTAAATAGCCAGTAGTAGAATTACTGGATTATATGATATTTATATTTTTAATTTTCCAAGGAGCCACCATACTGTTTTTCCACAGTGGTTCCACCAGTTTGCTTTCCCAGGGACAGTAAGCAGGGGCATTTTTATGCTTTACAGTTGGGGTCCCGGGAGAGATTTCATTGGAAGAAAGGGAACTCTGACTAACTCCCCCCACCCCTGAAAACACTGGCCATATGGATCTCTAGATTTTACTGATCTAAATATTCAGATAATAAATTACTTATTTGAGAATGCTTTTTGAGTCTTAACTTCAGGGTTGTTTTCAAAATGTCGAATAAGTGATAGGACACCGGCACCAAACAATGGGAAAAAAAAAAGTGATGAAGCAGGACAAATTGGCTGGATATTGGTTTTGCTCTAGTGAGCAGTTGGGTTTTCCAAAGGAATGGGAGCATGACTTCTCCTACTATGGGAATCCAGAATAGCTTTCACTATTCCTGCTCAAGGAACTCACTAACTTAAGGTGCCATCCAAGGAAATCAGAACTTAGCTGCCCGTCTGGATAGTATCTGCAATTGTACCATAGAAACACAGATAAGATGCAGCTTCAAGTAATGGAAAAAACATGATCCCTCAAGTCATGAAACCCTGCGAGGTCAACTGTAGAAGTGAGAGCAAATGAAATGTGTACAGAAATCCTTTGGGAACTGTAAAGTGCTGGCTGTATATAGATGAGTGATGGTATTATGTGAAATGCATGCTTACCTCGTTGTTGCAGAAGCAGTAAATCACGGCAACGAAGAATCCCTTAAAAAAGGAGGAAAAATAGAATTGAAGTTATTTTTGTGTGCATTATGTTATTTAGGAATCAATATAAATAGCCTGGAGAGGAACATTTCACTGTTGCAACAGCAAGTGAAGGCTCAAGAAAAGACAATTACAGCACTCATATCCAGTGTTTTATTACAAGAATATTCCATTTTAAAGGGATATAGCTTCCAGCTTGGGGTCCAGTGGAGGCATTTCATACTGATATAAACATGTGCTTCTCTACCCTGTGTTTTCTTGGCATTGGGGACTATGATGATAGAAATCCAGGTTGGGAAACTGACTGACATTGGTGATGTTGATCTTCAAAACTCCCCTTCATGAAGGAAAAACAAATGTGGCCCTCAAAATACTAGAGAGGGGAAGGAAAGGTTGAAAGGATGGTGGGAATAGAAGTTCTGTCCTCAGTACTGTGCAGTGGGCCCATCCCTGGACAAATATTTGTCCTTAGGAAGATTTGTTCTCAAAGCTCATAATCCCCCTATTTCCTTCTTCAGTTTTGGGATTCAAAAAAAGGGGAAACAGGCAGTGAGAAAGACAGAAGCTGTATCCCTTCCAGGTTGCATATATTTGAAAAGGTCCTTCTAATCATATATGAGGCCTAGAAAATGGTTCACCTTATGTCAACTAGCTGAGCAAGTAGTTGAGTAAATACACTATTGGCTTCTTTACCTGGAAATGGATCAGAGAGTGCATCAGGTAATCATAGATCTTCCCAAGCATCTTGTTGGATGGCCTCCAGGGAAAGACAACAAACTGGATTCCCAGCAGGGGCACCAGGATCAGGGTGGCCCTCACAGCCTTCAGGTACATATGCGATTCCGCCTCTTGGGTTTCCCTCAGTTTGCTCACAAGCACGCGGACAATGTTGAGCAGGAAGAAGAAATTGACCTGCAAAGATATGATGTTTTGAAGAAATCATCTATGTCAGTACTACTGAAGGGTGCCCACTTTCCTCAGTTCTTGTTTATTCCTGGGAGCAGATGTGACCTCTGCAGGACATGAGGGATGGCCTGTGACATGGTGTAATTTGCTAAGCATTGCTGGGAACATCAGTATGACCAGACCCTTTCAGACCTGAATTAACATTTTTTTTTTCCAAATGAGAAAATATTATTCCTGCATATGTAAATATATTAGGTTCAATTCTAAGGAGGGTGGTTTATTCTTTACTTTGGTTTTTACATTTTTACAAAGGAGCATCATAGATGACACTTTTCGATCTTCCTTTTTGGTCATTGCATTATGAAGATTTTCCCTGTAGGCAAGACTACTTAACCAAGGCTGAAATGAGGACCGAGACATTTATTTGTAAAGTATTTGTAGTGGAGACAGCGAACCCAGCCTTCTTTTCTCTTTCATAACATCTTTTTAAAGACAATCACTTCATTGAGGTATAATGCACATTCAGTAAAATGGAGATTTTAAGTTTACATTCCAGAAGTTTAGAGAAAGGTATGCACCTGTGTAACAACCACTCCAAACGAGAAAAGAGCATTTTCATCACCCCAGAAAGTTCTCTCCTGCTCCTTTGTGGTCAAAAACCCCCTCCCCTCCACCTCAAGCAACCACTAATTTCTATTAGCATAGAAGTGGAGTATTATATAGTATGTACTTGTTTTGTGTGTGTCTGGCTTCTTTGCTTTGACATATCTGTGAGATTCATGCATGTTGGATATATTAACATTTCATTCATTTTTATTGCTGAGTAGTACTCTATTATATGGGTAATACAGATAATTTGTTTATTCATTCTACTGTTGATGGAAATTGGCATGGTTTCCACAATTTGACTATTATGAATAAGCATGCAATGAATATTTTCATACAAGTCTTTGTGTGGACATATGTTTTCGGTTCTCTTGAACAAGTACCCAGGAGGAGAACTGCCTGTTGACATGGTAAGCATGTATTTAACTTTATAAGAAACTGCCAAACTATTTTTCAAAGAGGTGGCTCCATTATATGTTCCCTCCAGCACTAGATGAGAATTCCAGTTGTTCTCCACCCTTGCCAACACTTGGTATGGTCACTCTTTTTAATATTAGCCATTCTAGTGGGTGCCAAACTACTTTTGGCTATGATGATTAGTTTTGAAACCAAAGTTGTTTTTAAAATTTAATTGATGATTTATTTTTAAATGATTAGAATGATTCTTCAACCTGGAAGAGAAGTAACATGATTACCACCAAAAAATTCAGTAAAGGAGAGAGACCTTTATTAACAAATAAACTCTTACGAGGGGTTGGAAATATTCAAGACCTACATCGGTGGGTCTTTGTGAGGACTGTCAGGCTGGTAAGTACATCACTGCTCTGAAGGAGGGCAGAAGAAATTGGCTTTGGACTAGAGACACTGGTTACTAATGAATACTTCTTCAGTATGGGAGCAGAACATGGTGTATGACTCAGACTGTTTTTATTTTTCTCATTCGTACCCCAGGAAAACACTGTCTTTGAGGTTGGTGGGAAAACTAATGTCTAAATATTAAATTTGGTGGTTCTGACACTGGTCACCATATAGTAAACGTTGGGTAGAAACAAAGAGCTTGGAAATAGATGCAGATGGTCATATTCTCCACTACCCCAACTTCTTACCAGCCTATGTGATTTGGGGTGAGTTTACTTGCATCTTTGGGTCTAGTTTTCCTACTGAGTAAGGGTTGCTTTTTGAAGGGTTGCTGTTAGAAACAGCATGGCAGCGTATGAGAAGTGCCTGAAATACGTTAAGTGTCTGCTGAGAGGGAGTTCCAATGATGGCTCATGTGCCAAAGATGAAATGAAAGATGGTTTTGTTTGGCAGAGACCAGGGGAAAAGGTGCAGATGGACTCTGCGGTTTTTCACTTTCTTTATCAGAAACATTTTTTATCATTCTTCAGCCCCTTGATCTTTACTTTTAACTAGAACCATTTAGTTATAGAATTGTTTAAAGCAAAGTTGTAGCATTGAAAACTATATTTTTGTTATTGTGGGTGTAAAAATGAACTTATGCCCTTTCCCCAGTTGTGTTAAATGTTATTTTTTTCATTTGAAGACCCTCAAATAAAGTTGTTACAGATTATCTCACTATAGATTATCATTAAATTAGCCTAATTTTGAAGTTCGAATACACATGCTACATAGATCCGTCTTTACAGAAATCCTCTCAAAGAGGTAACACTTAATAATGGATTTAAAAAGCAATTCTCAACAACAATAACAAAATAAATAAAAAAGCAATTCTCACCACCAGTGCTGCCATGACGGGGCCGTGGATGATGTAAAGCAAATGGGTTTCCACACTCAGCCAGCAGCTAAAAAAAATAAAAAATAAATAAAAAAAATAAGGAGGGAGGGAATACATGAATATAAATGCATTTTATTTACAAATATGTTCACTTAAAAACCATCAAAATACTTACTTGTCATTGAAGTACAGCGCCCGAGTAATAGCATGGATAGTGGTCGGCACCAGTGGGAACCCTAAAAATGTGAGAAAGCAGAAATCACACCTGGTGTCTTGTCATAAGCTACAAGTAGGGTTGCATGGAAAATGGTAGTTTATTTTCAAAAACAGTGGCAAATTTTAATGTCTCTGTCAAAATATTTCCCTGATGTTTTTGCACAAAGTATTGTTGGTCAAACCAGATAAAAATGCTCTTGGTTAGAACATCATGTGTTTTCAGAATTTGGTTAAGAGCATTTCTAGGTAATTAAAAACCTTGTATGAATTATCCAAGATGGTAGGTACATTATTACTCTCACTATGACTATTATGTCATTGTTGTCTGTGGTGGTGATGATGATGATGATGACGACTATTAGCTGAGACCAGAAAGCTCTTCACTGAGTGTGAACTGGATTCTGCTATAGAGAGGAGTTGGGTCACCATGGAGGGAAGTGACCTGGGACAGCTTATGGAGGCAATCACCTGATTGCTCTGAATGCCTCGATGATGTTCATAGTGGTTTTTGTAGGTTTCTTGTGTTTTTGTCTGTTTATATTACATGCATTGATCATGTTTTCTTTCTATAAGAATACTTCAGAGCAGTACTGCATTCCCTACCCTCTGTAAGTTCTAGCTGCAGAACCCTTATTAAGGCAGCTTACCATCCACTTCCCTGAGTAAACTTGAAGGGCTAATAAAAAACAACTTTGAATTTATAAATGGAACAATGAAGGTAGTGACTGGCAATGCATTCTGTCAGGGTACATGTTTTCAAAATCATTTTTCATTCTATCAGTGTAATCTAGAATAAAGTTGTAATTCTTGTAAAACAAATTTTTTTTTTTCCTCAGAGGTACCCCTGCCCAACAGAATATTGTTTGATTTGGTTGAGACATTTGTGGGAAGACTTTTTAAAATTATCATCAGATTAAGAAATGTATCTGAGAAGTGGGTTAGACCTCCACACTTTTTTTAATTTTTAAAGAATGCTTGTTTTTGAGGGAGAGAGACAAGAGTGTGGCCAGGGGAGAGGCAGAGAGAGAGAGAGAGACAGACAGACAGACAGACAGAATCCAAAGCAGGCTCCAGGCTCTGAGCTGTCAGCACAGAGCCCAATATGGGATTCAAACTCAGGAACTGCGAGATCATGACCTGAACTGAAGTCAAATGCTCAACTGACCAAGCCACCCAGGTGCCCCTAGACCTCCACACTTTTATTTTCTGTGAGTTATATGCAAAAACAGCCTCAGCTCCTTAACCCATGAAGCATATAATTCAATAGGGCTACTGATTAAATGCTTGACCTGGGAGAATTTTGAGTTAGACTATTTGCACAAAATATAGTTGTATTTTATTCACAGCAGTTATAACATAGCATTTCCCCACTTGGGTTTTAAAAACAGAAATTCATTCTCTGGATTTATTCTGAAACTTACATTTTAGAATTAAACAGCAGAAGAAGCATATGGAGATCTCACTCTCACCACATCATTTTGGAGAGAGGAAAATGTGTCCCTTAGTGTACAGAGGAGCATAGACCCCATATCTGCTGATTCCTGGTGCTCTTTGCCTTGCTCTAGCCACTGATGTCTCTTTTATGCAGTTTGTTTTCTCCTTCCTCTTCCTCTCATCCCCCAGGGCCCCAAGAGCTGTAACAACCCTTCCTTCCACTAAAGTTGGTGAGAGTAAAAATAATCCTTTCTCCCTAGGATTCTTTTTCTAGGGAACTAGATAACTTCTGTGTGTTCATTGTAAAAGTCCATGGGGGGAATTCCTTCTTTGATTTATAACAAGTGGAGAACCAGCAAGGCGAAGAATCAATTTGAAGAGGGTTGTAAAATAAGTGACTTTTCTGAGAGCTAAACTTCACTATTTGAAACTGCTTCAATTTGAGAGAAGTCAACTAGTAAGTGGCCCTGTGCAGATTTGTAAGGGAGTAACCACCAAAAGAAGCATTCTTTCACTTTCTCTTGTAGAGAACTGTACTACCAGGTACTTTTCTCCCAGAGGGTGATGTTCATTATGTCTCTTATGATTTTTAGGATCTGTTCCAGATCCTGGAGTGGTAATATTATTCACAGCTGAAATGAATGGATGGGGTGTGCGTCACCTGGAAACAAAGTTAGGTCTGAGGACATAGCTTTCTGGGGCTAAATCTTCGCTGTTCCACTTTCATACTCTTTTCAAGGCACAGGTTATGCCTTATTTCATGGCATTGTAAAATTTGGGATCTATCATACTGTTTAGGTGTGAAATAATTTCAAAAGGACAATAAAAGTAATATCCAGTGGAAATGCCTTCTCTGCTCCATTAAATTCTTTAAAGATTCTGTGACATTATTTTTCTGGAGAAGTCATTTCAGTTGCACTTTTACTTGTTTTACCCCGACCAAAGATAATACTTGCTGAAGTTCTAAGACAGAACTATTGCTTTAAAATGCATCATCATGGTTGTCTCTCAATTTTGTTCTTAGAGATGGTAAAGAGTTTGGTGGAATTATGGAGTGTGTGTGTGTGTGTGTGTGTGTGTGTGTGTGTGTGTGTTTAGGGGGAGAGAAAGATAGATTTATGTCTGGCATGCTAAAAAATAATTACACTTTAGAACTTTATTGGTTGACTATCTGTCTTTCCAAACATCTATCTATGGGGAAGTGCAAATCCTCATGCTTTTAAATTGATGATTCTATGCTTACCTTACTGAGTGCAATGTTCCTTAGGATTCCACTTCAATCATTCTGATAAAGTTTTAAGTATTTTCTGATTAAGAAAGGTTAAGGTATTCCATAAACATTTTACTTATATTTATTCCTTTCTTTTTGATACAGCTGAACAGCTTGTTCCTTTTTCCCCTTGAATTGTTTATGCGTGTTAAGCAGATGTCTTCATCAAGCTGTCTCTGATGATGTCAAAAGTTTTATAACTAATTCACAATGCATCAGTATGGAAAGAGTAGTTATAAATTGTTCCTTCCAGGGTGCCCTCATCTCTGCTGAATGTCACGGGCAAGAATAAATTTATAGTCTTTTGCTTCCATGGAAAATTTTCTGAGTATGGCAGATAGATGTTTTTGAATAGTCAAAACCAGTACAAGAAATATGCCATAAATTTTATGTCATTGGAAATAAGTAAAATACATCAGACAGAAATGGTGTGTGTGCGCGTGCGTGCGTGCGTGCGTGTGTGTGTGTGTGTGTGTGTGGCAGGCTGGGAGTGTGATGTTATTTTCAGGTCTTCAGTTGGAAGGCATCTATCTGACCAGCACCAATCATTACTATTGTGATGATCAGAATTTCTTCTGGGGGCATTAAACTGTATCCAGTTGATTCCTGGTATGATCATCTTTGGAGGACTAGAAATCTCTGACAAGGTATGTGTGAGGCTGAGAAGGTCAGGGAAAGGTAAGATCAGCCTTCTGTGGAAGGACACAGCTAAAAGAAAAACATAATAAAAGGCTATTTTGACCTTTGTATTCTGACCTGTTTTGAGGACAAGGAAGAGTAAGAGAACCTAGCACTTGATGTGGGACTGACAGGATAGTCACAAACTTTCTTTCTAATCTTTCTGGATTTTGTAAGTCACAGAATGAGGGGAGCATGAAGGAGTAGTCCATAAGATGAGGTGGTTTGGGGTGTATTCTATATGGGCTTTCTAGTTCAAAAAAACCCCTCTCCCATTTTTTCTGGATGGGTCACCATCCCCAGACATGTCTGCACTATGTGATTAATATCCCTTTCAAAGTCTTTGACCATGGTTTATTGAACCATGGCTGGCCCCATAACTTCAGCTGAACCAATCAGATTTTCTTGTCCTGCTATTCACAATTGGGACTTAGAGACGAACATCTATCTAGTGTTTCTGTGTACCTGGAACAGAAAAACGCGAGCTCGGGAAAATTTGGGGTGACTTGTGTTTACCACGAGGACTGGGGGAGCAGAGACCCTGTGATCTGTGTTCTGTAGACAAAGAGAAGTGTTAAAACATATACTTAGAAAAAAAGAGACAAAAGAGAGGGAGAGTGTTCCTGGTCTTCTGGTCTCAGTGTATAGTTCGTTCAGTAGCTGAGCTGTGTTTCAGATCTTGACTTCCATGAAGTACTCTAGATTCTGATAATTTCTCTCTTTTTGTTTAAATTAGAAAATTGTATTCTGTTACTTGCAACCAAAGTGTCATAGCATTATTAGCTCAACAATGAGACTGCCCAAATAGCTGCCCTACTAATTCACCATTATAGACTTATTCCATTGGTTTTGGGTCATGTGTTTTGTTAAAGTCCATATACTCCTATTGGGGAGGGTGTTATAGAAACAAATATTGCATAGGGCCAGTCCTGGTGTAGATTATAGAAGATTTAAGGTCACTTATATGACTTCCCAGACACATTTCCATACATTGGTGACAATGCCTGTCGAGTAGGGGTTTAAATACAAAGGGTCATGTTTTTAGAAAGCCTTTGGATTATCTTCTCTCCTCATTAAATTTTTCCTCTCTTATCAATATTTTTAGGGGTCCCCCAAAATGCTGCATTAAAGGGCAGGTTTAATTGAGGACAATCCATAGCCCCTGCTCCAACAGCCATCGTCACCCTATTAGTGGAGAATAAGAGTAAGCCTTTAGCTCTACAGTCAGGATCCTCCTCTGGTCTGGGAGGTTCACAGGATGTGTCTTTTTTTGATAGCACTGCATGAGTTATTGTCCCAAAGCTTTTTCCCTCTTCCTGCCTCACTACCTACTCAGTTTCCTTCCACCAGAATGAGTCATACCTTAGCATACTTGGTGAAGGGGAGAAATTTTAGAGTAGCCTCATGGACCTCAGCACCCTTAGTCAGTATGTACAGAAGTGACCATGGTTTAAGCAATCAACCAGAGGCTTTTCAAAGTCATTGCCATGCACTGTGGTGTCAGGTGGCTCCCCTTGGAGTCCCATGAAATTATTTGTGTCTATTGTTCAGTGGGGCTCTTCTACCTGACTTTTTACTGGAGGAGTTGTTGATGGATTGCTAAGAAGGAATGTTTTTGAGGAAGGGGAGTGGTGCCTGGATGGAGGAGATACAGAATTCAAAATGTGAGACTCTCTACAAACAGGTGATAAATAAAACCGAAGGGAGGATCTAATCATATCTCTCAATCAGAGCATGTTTGTCTGTCTGTTAGCTGGTCTGTTCCCACAGAAACACATAATCATACTCTTCCTTCTCTGCACTGACCCCTGTGCTGGCCACAGTCCATATGAACTTGTTGATGGGCTTCTACCGAGCTCTCTTGGAGACTGAACTCCTGCCCCCACCTGTGTCCCACCATTCCTCACAAGACCTAGGCCCCTGACTCTTCTCTGAGACCAAGAGTAGAAGAAGATTGTAAATATGCAGACAGAAGGGAAGGTGGCTGGAAAAAATACATACCCCAGCCCAAGAGATAATACCAACGCAGGTGTTGCTCCTCAGTGAACACAGCCACCACGATGAGTGTGTGCAGGTAGATTCCCTCACAGAGCATCCAGAAGTAGTTGCATGCCATCATGTACTGGTGAAAAAAGTGCAAAATCTTGCAGCTCAGCTGTCAGAAAGAAATGGAGAAAGTCAGTGGAAGACACTGGCAACGGTCTGACAGTGAACAGAGGGTAAATGCGAAAATGAGCCAAAGTATTAACATTCAGTCTGCAGGGCGTCTCCCCAAGGATCTGTGGACACGCGCCACCCTCTATATCCACAAGTCAGAATGATAGTGTGCAGAGCAGTAGTATTACAGGTAAACAGCCATCCAGGGCGATGGAAACCTACTCCTCAAAATGCTCTTTTCCTATTACATTCTGGTGACTTATATAGACTAGAGAGGTTGATTTCCCTGCAATGTTTCTGAGGCCTATAATTTTTGAGAGCATCCAAGGCTTTTTCACGTGGCATCTATGGCCCTTTTTCTGTGGCCAATGAGGCAAATAACCCAGAACTTGTTAGTGATGTTCCTAAAGTTCACTGATCTGTTGGTGAGGTCTCGTTAGCAATACAGAGGAGAGAACCAAGTGATACATTTCTCAAAAATGAGCCAGGAGCTATGCTGAACCCAAATGATGTGGGTGATTTTGTTTTCATATGGGGGGCTTAGCTTCTTTCTATATTGAGATCCAAACGTTTGGTGCACAGAGATTAGGATAGCAATCTTATTTAGTACTCAGTGCAGATGTAGGAGCCATACCTCTGGGGGAATCAGAGCAGCTACATAGTGTTGTCTGTAGAGAAATAATCATTGCTTCAACTGAATAACAGAATACCCTAAATTATTTCATAGTCACCTTTAGAATAGGGCTTTTCATCTTGGCACCACAGATATTCTGGACTGTATGATTTTTGGTTGTGCTGGCACTGTCCTATGCGTTATGCGTTATTTGGGTATTTAGCAGTATTCCTGACCTCTGTCCACTAGATGCCAGTAGCATCCTCCACCCATTCATGAAATCAAAAATGTCTCCAGACATTACCAAATAGAGGAAAATGCCCCTGGTTGAGGAACACTACCCTAGATACCTAAATACCTAGGGTATTTAGTGGTGTTTAACTCTCTCTAACAACAATGGCAACAACAACATTTAGCATTTAAGACTTGGGGCATTAGAGATGATTATCTGCATTATTATTTTACCAAATGCCCTGCTTTACATATCGCATGTTGAATCTGACCAATTTTGGGCCTTTTTTCACTAAGTAAGGTAGTCATAGCATGACTGTCAGTACTATAGTAACCTTCTTAGGACTACATGTTTCTATTTAATGCATAGCAGTAATAATTTATTTACTGACAATCCAATGTGCTCAGTCCTTTTGGGACTCATAGAACATAGGGAAAAGCCAGCTGGGTCCACAAAAAGGCAAATACTGCATTTTCAGAGATAGAAGCAACTTCTGATTCTGTCCAAAGTGGAACAGTAATGCAGAGAATTCAAAACATCAGGTAACCCAAAAGTAATTAATATTTGGCTTAGGAAGGCACTGGCTTTTTTTTTTTTTTCCATCTGAATGGCTTCCTGATTAGAATTATTTAATTTTATATTAGTTTGTATTTGCTACGCAAATACTTGCTATATGCACACGAGACTCAAACATATATTTGAAATAAGAAATTCAGTTGACTCTCACTACTCTTATTTAAAAGCCCTATACCTTCTGGGTCAAGAATTCCAGTGGAGATGTTTTCCCAGCCACCACTTGTGGAGGAAGGGAGAGGAAGAGGATGAATATGACAGCCCTGTGCAAAGATGTGGTTCTGTGTCATCCACAGCAGCTTTGGCTTCAGGTTTTACATACAGTCAATTCTCATTACTCACAGCTAGTTATGTTCTATAAAGTTGCTGTAAAAACTAATTTAGCAAATGCTGAGCCATTGCTCCTAGGGGAAACACAGGGTTAGGTTCCTATAAGCCTCTGGTCAAAATATTTTCATCAGCCGATCAATATCTAACTTTGTTTTATATGTTTCTGTTTAAAGACACCTTATTTAATATATATTCTTGATTTGTTAACATTGAACTTATGACCAACAGCACTATAACTTCTGCCTGAGGGAAACTCATCTAGCATACCTATTTTTTCTGTAAGGTGTATCACAGCCAACTTGTACTTAGGAATATGACAACACTTTGGCACTATGCTTGGGGGCTATTTTAAGCAGTGAAATCACCCAACAAAAGCAACAAAGTGTGAAAAACATGGCATTTAAATAGACCATGAAAAGGACATTTATGCTATGAGAGATGAAATAAGAAGACAGAGTGTTGCCTTGTTCAACCTCAGCTGGGAATGTGTACATCAAGTGACTCAGTGTGTTTTTGCTACTCCGTGCATATCTGTAAATGGCCATGAAAGCACTGAGAATATGGATTTTGGACTTATAAATAAATTTTAGCAAGCAGGCAAATTTGCAAATATGGATCTGTCAATAATGAGGATCAATTATATTTGGGTTCAGGGTAAGATATTCTTTGGAGGGCAAATGGCTCAAAAGTTCACAAAAATTCTGAAAATGACCAGTCTATTATTCCCCCCCCCCCAATGTATCATGGACATGATTGGATATATCTAGATGATGAAGTTGATTATTAAAATTTTATAAAATTGGTCACCACTTAGGTCAGTGGTTCATAACTAGGGTTGTTTATCTGTATCACCTGGGGGACACTTACAAAATATGCATAACCAGACCTCATCTCCCTTCTGTATTTTCAAAATATTTTAGGAGTTTCTATTGTAAGTTCCTAGTGAAGAATCATGTGCCTGAGATATTCAAGGTCATTCTGTTGCATTCCACAAACATTTACAGAGCACCTAATATGAGCCAGGAACTATACTAACTCTGTGAATATCAAGATGAATAAGGTGTAGTCATATTATCTCTGACTTGATTATAACCTTTCCCTCAAGGATGGGGTGAACCAGGTATTCAACAGACAGACAGGGCTTCTGCTGAGGGTTAGTGCTTCACATCATTCTGGGATAGTTTTCTGCTTAGCAGAATGAGGTATTAAAAGATTCACTCTGAGCTCAAATAAGCTAAATAGCTTTTTGGCTATTTTTTCAGGCTGTGGTCACAATACTATAATTTTGGTTAGAGTAATGTTTCCAAAACTGAAAGACATAATCTATATTCAAATATAACTAGATCACTCCCAAGTAATACAACAAATGTTCCAAGCCAGAAATGTGTGGAATTTGTGAATTATTTTCTATTTTATTTTCTTCATTAATATGGACTACAAAGAGATAATTCTACTGTGAATGATATGCATTCTAAGAAATAAAAGCAATAGTATCTGCTTTGGCTTCAGATAAACTGTTATCACCATTTAGTGTCATTATCTGCTCATAATTCAATAGAACATAAAATTTGTTGAGCAATAATGTCACTATCAAGGGAACAGATCCTACAGTTTTCTTAATTGGGTATACTCATCAGACAAATCTATGTTTCCCATCAAATAGCATGAAGATATTTTATAGTACTGTGATTAAAAATGGAATTGGAATTGCAGAGCAGAAATTTTCTTTAGTCTAATAAATTAAGTCAGCCTCAAAATCCTATAGAAGATACTCAATTGTGGATTTTGTTCCAATTGTATCTTTCTTTTTTTATGTTTATTTATTTATTCTGAGAGAGAGAGAGAGAGAGAGAGGGAAAGAGAGAAAGAGAATCCCAAGTAGGCTCCATGCTGTCAGTGCAGAGCCTGACCACAGGGCTCTGTCCCATGAACAGAGAGATCATGACCTGAGCTGAAACCAAGAATCAGAGGCTTAACCCACTGAGCCACTCATGCGCCCCTCCAATTTTATCTTTCAACACACTTAAGAAAATTCTTCCCATATGTATAGCATGGGAAATATTGTGTGTCAGTGTGTTTAAGAACCATTCAACAGGGGAAAGAATGCCTCCATATGAAAACTGCTTTGGAATTTTTTGTTGTTGTTTTAGAAAAGACCAACCTTACAACAGGTAGTCAGTGTTTTTGAGATGTTCTATTGTGCTGGGACAGGGGAAGGGCTTTGGGTTGAGAAGTAGAAAGGAAATCAGCTATTGCTCCATGGAAGCAATGCAAGCAACAGTGGGTCACAACCTATATCCTACCTTTAAGCCATTGAAAAATCTACCACGAACCATCCCTGATACCATTTCCCCTATGGGTATGTTACCAGGTCTAAAAGGGAGCTAGGGAATATCATCTTGCCTCTGAGAACTTATTCCACCATCTTCATGATGTCTGAAATGCCACACAATTTCATTTCTTTAGCTTACGATTGTTTTCCTTATTAAAATGTCACACCTCTGGAAAGGATTGCACATTTTAATCCTATCATTTATAGAAAATTTAGAGTAGAAGAACTGAAGAAATGAAAGGGAAGGAGGGTGGAGGATACTAGGAGGTGCAGATTTGGAATGTGGCATAACAAATGCTTCTTACTCTTGTGCTGGAGGAAGGCATTAGGCTGGAAGATTACAGCTGCCAAACACAGATCCTACTTCCAAGAAACTTAGTGTCTTGAAGGGCCAGGGAAGGGCTGCCAAAGGTAAGCTTTGTCCACTGGAAACCTTTGGCAAGGGCCAAGCCAACGCATACTTCATTCTTATAATACATTTTATATGTGACCAAAAACTCTCCTCTTTTACAAAAAAAAAAAAATACTTGGAATTTCTCTCTTTCATTGATAAAATGGAATATCAGGTGAATAGGTTCAGCTTCTATATTAACTCTGTCAAGTTGAAGTTGGCAAGTTTATTCCTAAGTCGTGTTTTAAAGTAGAAACAACGTTTGCAGTAGGTTCAGAGTGATTTTGAGTGATTAAGCATGATTATTTATATTTCCCTGAAGCTTCTAAAAATGTTTTCTCATCAGTTCATTTTAGCACAGAAGGAAGGGTGCAAAGTTATATTTACTTGAGCCAGGGAAGAGGAATCGATAAGCAATCTCTAGATAATTTGCTTGAAGGAAAAAACATTAAAAAAAAAAAACCCTGAATAAGAAGGATTTGTGGCCTATATTGGTTAAATTTACCAGGTTAATCTTTTATTAAATT